AAGTTGGATGTATTGGTCATCCCAATATCTCCTTCTTCAATTTAAGAAATGTCTCTGTCTTCAAGTTGGATATACTGACTTGTATTTCGTTCTGTAAACCCATTTTACTCCAATTGGCTTCTTCCCAGGAGGTAAATCTGTGAACTCCCAGGTACCATTCTTTTCAATGACACGTATCTCCTCATCCATCGCCTTAAGCCAATGAGTTTCTGTAGCAGCCTCCTCAAAAGTTAAAGGATCACAATCTGCAAAGAGAGCAAATTGAATAATCTCTTCATCAGACAGGTCATTATCATGACCCAAAACATAATCTTGCAAGCGAGCTGGTAAGTGGCGCTCGCGCTGAGATCGTCGAACTGACGATTCTGGCTGTGAAGGAGACTGGACATGATCTGGAATCGGTTGCTCATCAACAATATTTTCAACAACAGGAATAACAACTGAACTTTCATCTTTAGCTAACCAATCCCAGGCACCATATTCATCAAAAGTGACATCACGACATATAACAACCTTTTTAGTTTCAGGATTGTATAGTTTATAAGCCTTTGAAGCGTCACTATAACCAATGAATATGCACTTCTCACCTTTATCACCCAACTTCTTTCTCAATGGATCCGGCACTTGGGCATATGCCAAACATCCAAAAACCTTGAGATATTTGATAGAGGGTTTTCTCCCACTCCAAGCTTCTTCGGGCGTCTTATCACGGACACTCTTAGTTGGACACCTATTCAACACATAGACAGCACAAGCAACAGCTTCTGCCCAAAAAGGTTTAGGCAGATCCTTGGATTTCAACATGCACCTCACCATATCCATGATTGACCTATTCTTCCTCTCAGCCACTCCGTTTTGTTGTGGAGTGTATCTAGCTGTCATTTGGTGTTGAATACCCTTTTCTTTCAGAAAATTATCACAAGCAATATATTCTGTACCTCTATCAGTTCTCAAGATTTTAACTTCATAACCACTTTGCTTTTCAACAAAAGCCTTAAATTGTTTGAAAACATCACATGCTTCAGACTTTTGCTTCAGAAAGTAAACCCTTGTTTTCCTACTGAAATCATCAATGAAAGTAATAAAGTACTTACAACCTCCATGTGAGGTAACCTCCAACGAACACAGGTCTGAGTGAACAATCTCCAACTGTTTTGTAGCTCTCCTTGACTTGCCCACAGGGAAGGGATCTCTATGCTTCTTCCCAATCACACAAATCTCACATATACGATCAGGGACATTCACAACAGGTAAATCAGAAACAAGTTCCTTTCTCGCAAGATAGTTTAATCCAGAGAAATGAAAATGCCCAAACCACATATGCCATAACCAATTATCATCACAAACTTCAGAATTAAAGCAATCAAGGAGAGTATGCTTAATTTTCAAAGGAAATAGTCGATTTTGGGACATATTTACCTTTGCAATCAAAACTCCTTTAGCATCTTCAATGGTACAACACCCCTGAGCAATATGTATCTTATATCCTTTTTCTGACAGCTGACCCATACTCAACAAATTTTGGTCTAGTTCAGGAACATAGAACACATCGGATATAAAATTGTGAGTACCATTCTTCAACTGAATAGAGATTTTACCTTTTCCCAAAATTGGCACCTTTGACTTATTGCCAAACGTTACTTCAGACCAAACTGATTCATCTAGTTCGGAAAACGATTCTTTCTTCCCACACATATGGTTACTACACCCAGTATCCAAGAACCATATGTTCTTATCAGCAGAAAAACTATCACTGGCCAAAAGTAAGGTTTCAGAATTCTCACCAGACTTTTCAGCAGTATTTTCAACAATGTTTGCTTGATTTCCACGATTGTTGTCCTCATTATACCAACAATCTGCAATCTTGTGTCCATATTTGCCACAATTGTAGCAATGAAATGAAAATTTACCTTGTTTGGTATTACCTCCACCTCTTCCTTGGTTGGAGTTACCACGACCTCTTCCACTAGAACCTCTTCTTCCTCTCCCACGACCTCTACCAGATCCTCCACCTCTTTGATTAGTGCCAGTCACATTAAGGGTGACTTGACTCTTCAAAGCTTCTTCTGCTAGTGGTTCCGATTTTGACGCAATCCTGTCAATATGACTTTCTACCATACCTTTCAGCTCTGCAATTGATAAGAGCTCGGTTTTGTGTGACTCTGTTATTGAAGCCACCACATGGTCATACTTCATCGGCATAGTTCGAAGAACTTTTTCAACCACTGCACCATCTTCAATCGTATCTCCATATAGCCTCATCTTATTCACCATATCAATAAGACGAGTGAAATACGCATCTACTGTTTCTGTAGAGGTCATCTCACAATTATCGTACAACCTTCTCAACGACTGCAACTTAGACTTCTGTGCCCGATCGACTCCTTTGTGTGACACCTTTAAGATGTCCCAAGCTTGTTTTGCTGTTTGAGGACGAGCTAATTGCCCAAAAATGGAATAATGAACACCTTGGTGAATTTGACCCAAGGCCAATTTATCTCGCCGTATAGCGGCTGCATCAGCTCCTTCGGGTAGACCGGATCAACAAAGCTCCAAAGATTTTGAGCTTGCAAATGTGTGGACATCATAATTTGCCAATAATTGTAATCGAGTTTACCGTCCAATTTGGGACCCGACCATACAATATTGAAATTTGTTGCCATATTTCACTATGGGAAATATTTCGGGGTTGAAAGGTTGAATTGACTGACTTTGATACCAAATGTAAGATATATTGAATATAATATATATTATATATAATATATCTATGTATTTATATATAATAATATATAAATAGGAAGAGAGAGAGAGAAGAAGATTAGAATGAATAATGTGTATTCACTGGGATGATTTAACAAATGAAAATACACCACATATTTATACTAAGAGAAAGCTAATAAATAGGAAGCTAATGCTCCATGTACTACTCCTATAATCTAGGCATGTTCTACATTAACATACATGACTCACCCAGCTTTGTTTTTATTAAATTCTTTGACTTGGTTTAATTACTAATAATAATAATATTATTATTATTATTATAACAAATTCAAACTTTTAGGAAGTCTTAAAAAGTCAGACATTACACAATCATGATTTTTAAAGAGTCTTTAAAAGTCGAGTATAATATTCAATTAAGACTTTTAAAGAATCTTTAAAAGTCACGCGGTATTCAAAAAGTTACGAATTTTTGTAGACTTCTTAATTGTAGGACTTTTGTAGATTTTTTTTCTCAAATATTAATAGTTGAAATCCAACCCCCAACCCCAAGATTTCAAAACTTGCTTTCTACCAATGAATGTTTTCTCTCTCACTCTAAACACTATTTTTTTCTCCATATTTAAACTTTATAAACCATACCTAAATTCAATAAATTATTTTTTTTCTACATTATCCTATATTTCTTGATACCAAAACTATACCAATTTTTTCTCTCTCCTAAACTTTACAATATTCCTCTAACAATTCGAAATAATATTATTTGTACTTTATTGCTTGTATATTTTGATTTTTTTTTTCTAAGAACTTTTTGTCCCTAACTTCTAACCTTTCTCTATGAACTTTTCTCCCTAACTTCTAAACTTTCTCTAAGAACCTTTTCTCCCTAAATACATGAACAAAGCAAAATTTTCGTACATGAAAATGTTGATGTGGGTTAAAAACTATATACAGTGGCGGATCCAGAAATGTTTGTCAATGGGGGCAAAACATTATAGTTTAAAAAACAATGAAACACTTAACAAATATAGTTATAAATATTGTTGGATATAGACGAATAATAAAACGCATTAAAACTTTATAAAAATATTCATAAAAAAATGAAACATGATTAATTTGATAAAATAATTCAAATAAAAAAATGCAATATAAATTACACATCTCATTATTAATATAAAAAGAGTTTTATATATATATATATATATATATATATATATATATATATATATATATATATATATATATATATATATATATATATAGCCAAAAGCCATAACGAAACAGTTAAAGAAACCCTTATGATAAGAGATTTGAATCACTGACATTTCTTAAATCCATACACGCCTTTACCAACTCGTCTAACTTATCTATTGTTTACTTTTATCAGTTTTTAAATATTTATATGTAAAACATGTGCTATATATACATACAAGGGCTATATATGGGGTGGGTGGGGGCAGCTGCCCCCACTGCCCCCATGCTGAATCCGCCCCTGACTATATAATAAGAAGAATTTTTGTAAGAAAATTTTAAATGATAAGAGAATTGGAATTATTGAAAGTTTGTAAGAATTTATTCAATTTGGAATTTCAATAACTTTTGTAGACTTTTTTTTTTTTTTTTTTAAAGTTGATACAAGTTTATGAATGTTTTTTTACATAGCCTTTTATAGATTTTTGGATTCTTTAGCCTAGATTTCTATATTATGTTGTCTGATAGAATTAGGGTTTTCTCATGCTATGATTTGGACAAGTATTTTTTGCAATTCTTAATCCCTAATTCCTCTTTTTCTCAACCCTAGTTTCTTCTTCTTCTTCACCTCTACCTCTTTCCTGTTCTTGTTGGATTGTATCGGTTGTGACATCTTTTTAGTTGTGTTACTGCAGCATCAAGAGATGGTGGCCAAGACCGTTAGCTGAACGCTTGCGTAAACACTTGAAGGAACAAAGATAGTTGATACTGATTGATGATATATGGAGCACTACTGCTTGGGATAGTGTGCAAAGATGCTTTCCAGATGATAATAATGGAAGCCGTATACTGTTGACTTCTCGGCTCAAAGAGGTTGCTGAATATGCATGCTCAGTTAACACTCCCCTTAACATGCCTTTCTTAGACGCCAATGAAAGTTGGAATCTCTATTGCAAAGTGTTTGGAAAAACAGAATTTCTTTGTGTGTTTGAAGAAATTGGTAGAGACATAGTGAAGAAATGTAGAGGGTTACCTCTAGCTATTATTGTAGTAGCTAGTCTTCTCTCCAGGACAGAGGAGAAGGTGGGAAAATGTGGAAGAATGTTACAGAAAATGCAACTAGATTGGTAATTGGTGATCCTAATGAGGTCTGTTCAAGAATCCTATCATTAAGTTACAACCAATTACCACACCACTTGAAAGCTTGTTTTCTATATTTTGGAGTTTTTCTGGAAGATTATGAAATCCCAGTGAAGAAGTTGGTTAAGCTGTGGGCAGCAGAAGGATTTTTGGGGGCAGTTAAGCATCAAAATATGGAAGAAGTGGGTATGGAATGCTTGAAAGATCTTGTTGATAGAAGTCTTGTTATAGTTAGCAGACATAGTTATAATGGCAAAATGAAGACAATAAGGATACATGATCTTTTGCAAGACTTGTGTTTGAGAGAAGCTCAGCATGAGAATCTATTGAATGTCATTGCAAATGATTACCATGATGTTGTTGGACTTGAAATACTTCCATTTTTCAAGAGGAAATCACAACATTCATTTTCAAAACCTTGCCGCTGGACAAGTATTAGACCAAGATGTTTCACTGTGGATTGCTTTGACAAATTCCATTCCTTGCATTGTGTTAACTTTTTTAGTGCTGGTGTATTTTCACACTTCAAACTACTAAGAATAGTGGATATGGAGCTTACATTGCCGGTTTATGGAGATATTGTACTAAATCTTGTTCATTTGAGATACTTAGCGTTATCCATGAGGAGAAATTTTGGCTCTCTTAAACTAAAGCTCTTTGAGCTTCCGAGTTTGCAAAGCTTAATTGTTCGGGGATTTGGCAACTTGGATTCCTCTCATGCAATTGAAATTTGGACAATGCCACAATTAAGAAATTTTTATGCAGACCAAATTTGTTCATTAGAAACTTCGGAGGGAGTTCATAAAAAGTTAGAGACTATATCTTGGTTGGGTCAGGCGTGTTGTACAAAGGATCTGCTTACAAGGATCCCGAATTTAAAAAAGTTGGGGATTGACGGTAGATTCTCTTCTGCAAATCCAGATTGTTTAAATAATTTTGTTGACTTGGGGCAGCTTGAGAAACTAAGCATAAGAGATTGGCATCTCAAACGTATCCCGTGTAGTAGCTTCCTATGGGCAACTAGTTTTCTACCAAAGCTTAAGAAGCTCAGCTTCATCAGGACTAGTTTGCCATGGAGTGATGTGAGACTTATTGGTATGTTGCCGAACCTAGAGGTTCTAAAATTGATACATGCTTTGATAGGGCAAGAGTGGGAGCCATGTGAGGGTCGGTTTCGTCAATTGAAAAGGTTGGTAATTAGAAACACACATCTCAAATATTGGGATGTTACGGGTGACCATCTCCCCGTGCTCGAATGTTTAGAGATAAGCGAATGCTATTCGTTGGAAGAAATCCCTAGTGGTTTTGCTGATATCACCACACTAGCATTGATTCGATTAAGCAAATGTAGTAATTCCCTTGTGACTTCTGCAAAGTTGATTCAAGAAGAGCAAAACAACTATGGAAATGATGTTCTCCTTGTTCATTACTAAAATATTAAGGTCTCTTTCTATCCCTCTGATATACTCTCACCATTTAACATGCACTTCATACTACTTGAATTTTTAATGGCTGATGGCTGCAGTGGATAATCATCTATCTGATCTGTTTTCTCTCACTTCTATCTCTTTTTTAATTTCTCTATCTCATATTTCCTTACCTATCTAACTGTTGTGTGTTCGCCTTTTCTTTTTACTGAATTTATTGTTTCCAGACTTCATGGTGTAAGTGGTTTGAGGAGGAAGAGAGTGATGAATGAAGAGCAGTATGTAGGTATGTTGTATGAGCACATATAACAAGTGTTTATTTTGGTGTTTTTTTTGTCTAAAATTAAAGAAAAATGGATGAATTAAGCTTATTGCTTTCCCTTTTTGGAAATATATATAGGAAGGCCTGGTGAAATTGTTGGAAGAAATGACAAATTTTGAATGTGCATAGCAGTGATCTGAAATGGTCTTTGCGGGCAATTCGTTCTCAGAAATCTGTTTTGTTTCTTAAGTGAAGTGAAGTTTGGTTGTACAGATTTTGGTGGTGGGGAATTAGTTTGGGATGATTAGAGATGTGATGGATGATGCCAATTCACTCATTTTTTAAGATTATAATGCGTTAAGCAATTTATTACAGATTATTTTGTTGTTATACAATTCAATATATAGTGTATATACTTAAGGATAACCAAATGTATTCACTTGATCATAACCTAATGAATATTGAATAGGTGTAGGTATGTTACGTTAGTTGTATGCGCATATATATCTGTTTATTTTGGCGTTTTTGGAAATATATATAGGAAATATATATATATGACAAGGGTGGAGTCTTTCTATAGATAGCATTGCAAGATAATGGGAACTGAATTTATTCATTTCAAGTCTCAGAAATTGTTTTTGCATTTTTCTTTCTTTTTGTGGATTAGCCAACAATAGAATAGAAGTTGGCTGAATATTTTGTTGCACCAACATCATACTATATATTATATGTTTTGGATGCTACCATAGCATTGCAGTTTGCAGGATCAGAACTGAACTTCTCCATCTTTTAAGTCTTTTTTTTTTTTTTTTTTTTTTTTTTTTAAGCCAAGTGAAGTTGTACAGTTAATCTAACTTAACTTTTCACTGTACTGTTCTTTTTCTTCTTAGCCACATACAGTTTACTCATTCTTAAACACAGACAATTAAGGGGTCATTTATTAACTGAAAATTTTTGGAAATTTTCGGAAATTTTCGTAAACTGGAAAATAGAAAACAGAAAACATGTTTACTAACATAGTTTCCATTTTGAAAACTGAAAATAATTTCTAGAAATTTCTGGAAAACTGAAACACACTTAAAAACAATTGAAAACAGAATCATCTATCATCTATTTAATTATATGTCACTATAACCACATTACTATGATTACGTTCATTATCATCTTATTTTACTTTATCACTATCTTCTATCTTTTCTACTTACTTTACTTATTTAAACATAATTTATTTGCTTACACTTTAAAGTTAGACATTATTTACATTATCAAAATTAAGAATTAAATTATATATAATGTTTTAGATTTTGATTGAACTCAATAAATTATTAGTTCGAATATTTTTAATTATGTTATATCATAATACAAGTTCAGTCCAGATATCGGATATTGAAATCTCACATATATTAGAATTCAAAGTAAAAGTTATATATTTATATATATGTCATTCAAATGAATATATCCAAAAAATAAATTTTAAATATTAGCTCAAAAAATATTAATATTATCTAAACTAAATTTTTCTTCCTCTCAAGTCTCCTTTGTTATTTATTTGTGTATTCAAGTGCAGTTGTATATATGCAGCCATATATATATATATATATATATATATATATATATATATATATATATATATATATATATATATATATATATATATATGTTGTTGACTTAAAGTATTTTGTCAAAGTTATGTGCAAAAAGAATTCCAGTTCTATAAAGGAATATCAGTACTAAGAGGAATAGTTATTGAAGAATACTAGTTCTAAGGGGATTTGTTGTTGAAGATTTTATAGTTCTATTTTGATTAGGAATAGTTTGTTATTCACGAATCTGTTAGGAATAGCTACTATAAATAGGGAATGTCCTTTATTGTAGACCTCAAGCATTCAACATTAATCTTGTGAGGTACGAGAGTCTTTGAGAATAGGATACTAAATTCCCCTAGAAAGTAGTACATGTGTTTAGGTTTCAATAGTTTGGTAGGAAAGATCATTCTATTGTGTAATCTCAGGTTCCAAACAGTGTACTTTAAATATTGAGCTTTTAGTGGATTTAGGCAAGTTCTCAAATTGAGAAGTGCCTCGCAGATTAGGGCTGTTTGCCCGAACTGTGTTACAGATTGTTTGTGTTACAACTTCAGTTTCGGTGCTGCGCTTTACAAATTTTCAATTGGTATCAGAGCCAAACTGCTTAAATTATTAGCAGGATCCTAATGGAGTTTCCCAGAGAAGGATTGTCAAGCACAGGCCCCTGCTCTCTTTGGTACAAATTTCTCCTACTGGAAAGCTAGAATAAAAATCTATATTTTGGCACAAGGAGAAGGAGTTTGGGAAGCCGTTGAGAAAGAATGGAAGAATCCAGTTGATGATAAAGGTAATAAAAAACCTAAAGCAGAATGGAATGAAGAAGAGCGAAGAGAATATAATTACAATTCAAAAGCAATGAATGCCATCTATGGGGCGGTAAATGAAGATACTTTCAAACTAATCGCTACCACTGGCATAGCTAAAATTTCATGGGATATACAATGTGATCATCACGAAGGAAATACTTCTGTTAAGCAATCCAAGCTGCAAATGGTACAAACACAGTTTGAGAATTTAAAATGGAAGAAGATGAGGATATCTCACAGTTTAGTGCAAGAGTTTTAGGGATTGCTGGAGATGCGTTTAACCTAGGCGAACCTATTCCTGAACCTAGGCTCGTCAAAAAGGTCCTACGTTCCCTACCTGAGAGATTTATGATAAAGGTTACAGCCATACAAGAAAACAAAGATCTAAACACCTATAAACTCAGTGATCTAATGGGAAATCTTCAAACATATGAGCTTGAGATACTACAAAAAGGGAAAAATAATGACAAAGGAATTGCGCTCCAATCAAATCAGAAAGAGAGTCCAGAAATTGATACTGAAACCATGGAACAATCAATTGCTCTCCTAACAAAAAATTTCAACAGAGTTTTCAAAAAATTCAACAAATTTAGAAGCAAAAGTGCTTCAATCAATCAAGGGAACTTCCCAACTGGACAAAATCAATCTATTTCAAAAGGAAGGGAGAGTCTAAAACCTGAAGGAATTCAGTGCTACGAGTGCAATGGGTTTGGACACATCCAATCAGAATGTTCAACATATTTTAAAAGGAAGAACAAAACATATGTGGCAACACTAAGCGATGACTCAAATAGTGAAGAAGACACCAACACTAATTTCGTAGTATTCACCGCAAATCATGAGAATGACAACGGAAATGAAAATGATATGCAAGAACTGCTGGAGTCATATACCCAATTGTATACTAAATGGGAACAAATCATCAAAGTGAATCTAGAGCTCATGTAAGAAAATCAGTTTCTAAAAGGTAAAAAAGAGAGAGAAGAAAAGCGCCTCAAAGAAACTCAAAATGAATTATTAGAATCTAAAAACAGAGAGGCCAAACTGTTACAAGAAATCAAGGCACTAGATGGAAGGCCTAGATCTCCAAATCCAGCGTCCAGTGAAATCCACTCTTCTGAAAATCTTGAGGTGTCACAACATCACTTTCAACACCGAAGGAGAATCAGATGTTATTACTGCCACAAATTGGGACACATAAAGGCGTACTGCTTCAAAAGACAAAATGATCTCTATTAGAAACAAAACAACAGAGATTGGGCAGTACAAAGAAAAAATAACAGCAAGAAAGTATGGGTAAGAAAGGAACAAACACAAGTTGTTGCGTATACATCACAACCACTCTTATGTGTGTTTGTTTTATATTAATTTAAATTTTTATATACAAATAAATATTATTTGTTGTTTAATTTTGAGTAAGGGTACTTTTGTTATTTGACTATATATTTATTTTCAAATCCTTAACCAACCAAACATTTAAATAATTCGTTTGACGTATGAATACGAAACTATATAATTCCTAAAAAGCATTTCCAAATTCATTTTATCTCAATATAATATATTTTTGCCTTTTTAAAAGGAATTAGAAATTAAAATAAAAATAATTTTTCACTTAGGGTGTGTTTGGAAACCCGGAAAATGACTTCTGGAAGTCATTTTCCGGGTTTTTGGTGTTTGGTTACATTGGAAAATGACTGGTCAAAGGAAAATGGGGTGGAAGTCAATGGAAAAGGAAGGCAATTTTATGGAAAATGACTTCCCCTTTTTTTGGGGGGAAGTCATTTTCCAACTTTTACACCAACATCATCAACATCATACCACCACCACCACCACTACCAACATACCACCATCGCCGCCATCACCACCATACCACCGCCACCACCACCACCATACCACCGTTGCCACACCACCACCATCACACCACCTTCGCCGCCGCCGCCACCACTACCACCATACCACCGCAACCACCGTCGCCACCACTATCGTCGCCGCCACTACCACCATACCACCGCAACCACCGTCGCCGCCATCACCACCATACCACCGCCACCACCACCACCATACCACCGCAACCACCGTCGCCGCCACCACTACCGTCATACCACCGCCGCCGCCACCACCACCATACCACCGCAACCACCGTCGCCGCCACCACTACCGTCATACCACCGCCGCCGCCACCACCACCATACCACCACCACCGCCACCACCACCACACCACCGCCGCCACTGCCACCACCACCATACCACCGCCACCACCACCACACCACCGCCGCCACCACTGCCACCACCACCATACCACCGCAACCACCACCACCACTACCACCACCATACCACCGCAACCACCGTCGCCGCCACCACTACCACCATACCACCGCCGCCGCCACCACCATACCACCGTCGCCGCCACCACCACCACCACCACACCATCGTCATACTACCACCACCATCACACCAACACCACTACCGCCGCCGCCGCAACCATCGTCGTCGCCGCCACGACCATACCACCGCAACCACCGCCACCGCCACCACCACCATACCACCGCCACCACACCACCACCGTCATACCACCACCAATTATTATTATTATTATTATTATTATTATTATTATTATTATTATTATTATTATTATTATTATTATTATTATTATTATTATTATTATTATTATTATTATTATATAACGAATAACACCACTACCACTACACCACCACCACCACCATAATATTTTTGATATATTATTAGTTTTTTTTTTTGTTGAAAAACTTAGCTATTTTTTATTATATTTAAAATTAATATTATATTATATTATTATATATTATTATACATGTTGTAATATTCTAAATAAAATAATTAAAATGTTTAATTATACAATTCTACTCATTTTCCAGAAAATGAACCAAACACACAAAAACAGTTTTCCAGAATGCAACCAAACACCGGAAAGGAAAATGTTTTCCGGAAAATGACTCATTTTCCAGAAAACATTTTCCAGAAGTCATTTTCCTGGTTTCCAAACGGACCCTAAAAGTCATTGGCAAGATCGTGTTTTGTGAGCCAGGAAACGGTACTTCCGTTGTTGATAAAGGCGTTGCTGTATTGGGGGTTGGTGGCTATGGAATCATCATTCCTAACCCACAATCCACAGGCTTCGAGCTTGTGGCCAATGCTGATATGATCCCCACCGCAGTCGTTACCGTAGCCGACGGAGACATAATCCGGGAATATGTAAGGTCGTCTCAATTCCCAACTGCTAAAATTGAATTCAAGGGAACAGTAATCGGAACTTCTCCGTCTGCACCGCGTGTGGCCGCTTTCTCAAGCCGGGGGCCCAATTACTTGACGCCTGAAATTCTCAAACCAGATGTGATTGCACCAGGAGTTAACATTCTAGCCGCCTGGATTGACACAAAAGGCCCCTCCCAAACCTCCACTGATTATAGAAGAACGGAGTTCAATATTATGTCCGGCACCTCCATGGCATGTCCTCATGTTAGTGGGTTGGTTGCCATGATTCAAAAGCTCTATCCACTTTGGGACCCAGGTGCCATCAAGTCTGCACTCATGACAACAGCTGTCACTGTGGATAATTCCGGGAGGAGTCTCATAGATCTTTCCACTGGACAAACATCCGTGCCCTATTACCATGGATCTGGACACGTTGATTCAACCAAGGCAGCAGATCCCGGTCTGGTCTATGATACCGGAATTAGTGATTATGTGGATTTTTTATGTACCATTGGGTATGATAGCCAGAAAATCGCGTTGTTCCTGCGGGATGGTCCTCCAGTGAATTGCAGCAACCGAAATTTGGGTAATCCTGGCTCTCTAAATATCCCTTCCTTTTCCGTTGTTTTCAATAATAATCTCAGGACAGTAAAGTACAAGAGAATGGTTAAAAATGTTGGAAGCATCAAGAACCCTGTTTATAATGTAGCTGTGACTATTCCTTCCAACGTTCTTGTGACTGTGTCACCAACCAGCCTGGTGTTTAGTGAGACAAATAATATACTATCTTATGAGGTAACTTTTACAAGCGTTACACCAATTGACTCGGTATTCGGCTCATTAGTCTGGAGTGATGGGACGCATGCCGTTCGTAGCCCAATAGCTGTGATTTGGCAAGGAGTGACTTTGCAGTCTGAAATCTAAATGTACGCATAAATTGGTCTAGTCTATTTCTATGTAGCCCATATAATAAATAATATGGTGCATATATTCCCAAAGAAGTGTATGCAATAATGGGCTTAGTTCGTTCCTATATAATCCACGTAATGAAATAAATCCACATATAAAGTATTATGGCGGACAAATATATCTTTATGACATTACAATAATTATTGCAATCTCATTAATTATATATATTGCTATAAGTAGATATATCCAACAAGAACAATGAAATGTTACCCTATTTTGTAAGTATAAGCATTCAAAAATTTCATAAAAGATGTTCTGATACTCATGTAGCAGTCGTAGGTTGTACTTTTACTTCAGGGAATTAATTCTTGTAAAAATATAAATATATCAAGTGATGGACTCACACATATATAAATTCCATTATATTAGTTTAGTTTGGATTAGACATGCCAAAGCAACAGTTGATGTTGATGACGATAACTTGTTGCCCTTATCTCATACGCAAACAGAAGAAAGACAAGAAGTTAGACAATGGAATGCAAAGAGAGATGAGATCGCAGAACAAATGTGGAATGAATTTCTTATTAGGAACTAGTGTCTAGTTTCATATATTTGAGTATGCTTTGTTATTGGATATTATTAGTTACGTTGTTGAACATTTCTTATTGTTGTGTACTTGATTATGCTTTGTTATTGGATATTATTATATGGACATGAGTATGCTTTGTTAATGGATATTATGTTTCATTGGTTGACGTTGGTTGTTATTGTTTTTATGTTATTATAGAAACATGAATAAGGGAAAGGGAATTGCCACTTCTAGACAATTTCGGTGGACAAAGCCAATGGAGGGCGTATTTTTAAAGATATTAGCTGAAGAGGCTAGGAATCCCAATAATCCAACTAACAATTTTAGAACATCTTCATTCAATCGTGTTGCATCTACCATATCTGAACAATTTAATGTTGCATGTGAAGTCAAACATGTTGAGAATCACTTGAAAACAGTGAAGAACACATGGATGATGATATGCAAGCTGAAGGGGATGAGTGGTCTTGGATGGGATGATAACTTGAAAATGATTACATGTGATGAAGCCCCGTATATTGAGCTTATCACGGTAATATTTTATTATCATAATTTGACTATTGCATAAATCTAATGTTTTTTTATTAGAAAATATCTCATGTTTATTATTTTGTGTATTTCTCATTGGCCCAGACATAATAGAGTTTGGATTATTTTGTGTAATATTTAATAAATGCCTATTTCAGTTAATGTTCCAATGCAGTTATGGAGGCCAATCGAGTATTCAACGGCAAATTATGTTGTCGACCCGGTTCTCTGTCAAAAAGGGGCATCTGGAATAATGGTGCCGCTGTTTCCTCATGTTAGGAATATAGCGGAATAATGTAAAAGAGAAGAATCGAAAATTGAAAATTATAAAAGTTAAATAATATAAATAGGAGAAATATATAATATAAAATAGGGGAAATATATATAAATTCTCAAAAGAGAATTACAAAGGAGAATATATATATATATATATATATATATATATATATATATATATATATATATGTGTGTGTGTGTGTGTGTGTGTGTGTGTGTGTGTGTGTGTGTGTGTGTGTGTGTGTGTGTGTGTGTGTGTGTGTGTGTGTGTGTATATATATATATATATATATATATGTGTGTGTGTGTGTGTGTGTGTGTGTGTGTGTGTGTGTAATATGTATAGAGTGAAAGGTTCCCGTGTGGTTGAATGCTTCCCATGCGGTTGTGCGGTTGTGCGGTTGTGCGGTTGATTAATGTGCGTGAGATTTGTACTCAATGTGCGTGAGTGTTGTGTTTAATGTGCCTAAAATTTGTACTTAATGTGCATGGAAGTGTAAAATGCAGCAGAAAATATGGATGTCAGCTTCTTCCCCATCCCCAATAGCCATTGCCCCCTCCCTGATGATGATGATGCGGAGGCGGGCTATGGTGGTTAAAAATTATGGGAATAATACAACAGAAATCCACACTTAGCTGGTATGCAAATTTTGCTGTGCGTGCGTCATCTATATAAACATTCAACTGCACTGAAGGTAGCTGATAATCCAGAATCCATGACCAAATTGAAGGAAGAAGTAACAAGAAGCTTGGGCGTTAATATGCGTGAGTTTTCTGTTCTGCTTCCTTCTGAGCTCGTAATTCTGAACTACTCACGCACATTAAGCACAAATCTCACGCATATTAAGCACAATACTCAGGCACATTATTAAGTACAAAACTCACGCATATTAACATTACGCACATTAAGTACAAATCTCAGGCACATTAAACACAACACTCATGCACATTAAGTATAAACCTCACGCACATTAATCCATCGCACATCCACACGGGAAGCCACAAATGCACATGATCCCTTCCCTATGTATATATATATATATATATATATATATATATATATATATATATATATATATATATATATATATAGCGTGAGATTTGTACTCAATGTGCCTGAGATTTGTACTTAATGTGCGTCATGTTAATATGCGTGAGCTTTGTACTTAATGTGCCTGAGTATTGTGTTTAATGTTCGTGAGATTTGTGCGTAATGTGCGTGCGTATTTCAGAATTACGAGCTCAGAAGGAAGCAGAACAGAAAACTCACGCACATTAACGCCCAAGCTTCTTGTTACTTCTTCCTTCAATTTGGCCATGGATTCTGGATTATCAGCTACCTTCAATGCAGTTGAATGTTTATATAAATGACGCACGCACAGTAAAATTTGCACAGCAGCTAAGTGTGGATTTCTGTTGTATTATTCCCATAATTTTTAACCACCATAGCCCGCCTCCGCATCATCATCATCAGGGAGGGGGCCAATGGCTACTGGGGATGGGGAAGAAGCTGACATCAATATTTTCTGCTGCATTTTACTCATTCACGCACATTAAGTACAAATCTCAGGCACATTAAGCACAACACTCACGCACATTGATACAAATCTCACGCACATTAATCCACCACACATCCGCACCGGAAGCATTCACCGCACGGGAACCTTTCACTATATATATATATATATATATATATATATATATATATATATATATATATATATATATATATATATATATATATATATATATATAGAGAGAGAGAGAGAGAGAGAGAGAGAGAGAGAGTGAGAGTGTAGTTCAGGTGCGGCATCACCAACAGTTGAGCGATTATACACCATCTACGTTAGGAAATACACCACAAAAAATACACACAAATTAGTTACAAATCACTAAAAACACACCATTAGGTGTGAGTAAAAGCAACATACGATGTTTGGAAATGCACCATTAGGAGTGGTTATGGCATAATTTTTTGGGTGTATTGTGGTTTTTTTTTTTTCTTTTTTGCATTTCATTGTGATGTGTTTTCTGGATCCCCCGCCGCATCGCCCCATAAGCCCCCACCGCATATGAGCGCTAATATATATATATATATATATATATATATATATATATATATATATATATATATATATATATATATATATATATATATAATTCGAAATAATGAGCACTGCTGGAAATCAACAGATTTCCGTGGTCGGAAACGACCTAAATCAGGTCGTAAACATCGTTTCCGACCACTTTTTCGACCAAAATAATCCCAACTATAAATTAGTACGAAACTTAGAAAATTAATCCAACCAAAACTTGGTACGAAACCAAGATTTATTTATACAAAAATAATTAAAACGAGAAAGGGTTTTATAATCTGAGATTGTAAACCCAACAGATATGAATGAGGAAATTCGAGTGGTGTGTAACACACATTTTCCATAAAACCAATTCGCTACCTCCCGAGGGTGATAGGAGTGTTGTAGCGTCAGTCTTCCAGGATAAAACGGATTAATACTTTAGTGTTTGAGCACTCAAACATAAAGTCCGACGAACTAGGACAAAGATCAAGCACTCTTCGAATTAACTACTCGGATAGCGGCTCTTAGTATTAGCTCATGATCCCACGAGAATACACCCCTAGGAGAAAACTAAGAACCAATCTGACCCTTACATTCGTAAAAATCGAACAGATCAAATCAGATTAAAAAAAAAATACAGTGATATTTCCGTAATTATCATCAACTTCACTTTGCAAACTTATACTTAAATATACAATATATAACAACTAAAAATGCAAACTTGTTTAAATTTTAATAATCTCTTGCATAAATGTATCAAAAAATCGTACAATTTGTTTTTTTTTTTAATCTAAAATATCATTAAGATATTAAAAGATATTATACTATACATATATGATGATGTTACATGATTAGATGGCTCACTTTATTTTTTAAAAAAAAATAAAAAAAATAAAAACAAACAAACTTTTTTAAACATAATATTATTAGAAAAATAAAAAATTTCCAAATAATTTTTTTCAAATATTATTTGTGAGCATGAAAAATGTTATAATATTATATTTGTAGTTACACTCTTTTTTCAAGAGACATCGATCCTATGATACATGTTAAACTATTTGGGATTAATAGTTTTAAAAATAATTTTAATCTAGTCATCATTACTTTAACATTGAATACGAACATTTTAATTGTATATGTCATATGTCTTCATGTATAGGTGTATCTGACTAGACAACTTGATAAATTCAATCTTAATAATCTTTTGCATATTAAATGCTTAACAAAAAATCATACGATTTGTAGTATTTTTAAAAAACTTTCAAGAATATAATTAAGATGTTAAATGATATTACACATTTATAATGTTATTAGAATTTTTTTTTAAAAAAAAGATAATGTTATTAGAAAAAAAATATCATTATTATTACCATTATTTGCAAATGCTATTTTTGGGCATGACGAAAGAAAAAATCTTGTCTTTGAGGTTATATTCTTTTTTTAGTATACGCCAAGAACGGTCGCGTATTGTATTTATTTATTTTTTATTTTTAATTAGAAGGTAAAATGCGACCATTTTGAAGCTAGAAATGGTCGCGTTTTCC